ATGTGTCCCCTGCCAAGGCTATGTGTCCCCACTAGCAGGGTAGCATGACAAAGTGCAGCTGACGGCTCCTTGGCTTGTGGCGCAGATGTGTGTGTGGGGACCCTCGGGCTGGTGGAAGTACTGCTGAGGGAGGTGCGCAGTGAGGGAGCCTAGAGGGCTCAGGAACTGGATGATTCTGCTCCCGGAAGCTCAAGTGCACTGCTGCAGGAGGGAAGGGGGACTGGACACCATGCAGGCCCTCATGTATCTTCTTAAATACCTTTGCAAAATACTCAACCAGGTGCCAGCAGGTCACACCTGTAATCCTAGATACCCACAGGCTGAGATCTGAGGATTGCAGTTCAAAGCCAGCCTGGACAGGAAAATTCTGTGAGACTCTTATCTCCAATTAACCACTAGAAAACCAGAAGTGATACTGTGGCTCAATGTGGTAGAGAGCTAGCCTTGAGCAAAATGAGTTCAGGGACAGCGCCCAGGCCCTGAGTGTAAGCCCCAAGGCTGACAAAACAAACAAAAACTCACAGCCTGCCATCACAGTTTACTAGGCTTAGCTGCAAACAATTAAGAAATTTTGAAACTGACTGCTCCTTGACCTGTTGGTTAAGATCAAATGTAGAAATTGTAAAAATCAGTGCAATAGTAGAGTACAGACGAATACTGCTATCACACCAAAACACTTATTATTCCTTTTGGTAGAGCTTGGTGATTTGTTTTGGTTTTCTCTCCAGTCAGACCCTTCTGTGGCAATGGGGGGGAGGGGGAGAGAGAGAGTGGGGACAATCTTTGAAGGGGAGGTCCACCAACGTGGCCAGTTACCATGACGACGCATGCTGGGGACCTGTTTGCTCCCTCCCTGCTCTTCCCAAGGATCTGAGGCTCCACCACACGTGTGATGGAGGACCTTCTTACCACAGCACCTCTGCCTCTTTGTTTTCCCTTCTTATGATCAGAACAGCAGCAGCAACAAAAGCCTGGGTAAAGAAATCACTTCTTTTTCCAAGTCCAGATTAGACGCAGTGACTATCTCTTTCCAATCAGGAACCAGTTTCCATGGTAACCATGCTTTCCTGAGAACCCCCGAGACAGCAGGAGAGCTGGGATGAAATGGAGAGTTCCTTCACAGCCCCGTGGTTTCCTCTCCGTATTCACGCGTTGCTGTAAATCTCTGCACAAACTGCATCTTAAATGGTTTGGTTCTCTTTCCCTCTAAACATTAGAATGATGAAACAAATTCCTTCGCTCTTCCCTTAGAGTGATCCTCTAAAAGCACACGGAGGAAGTGGGAAAGGATGAGGAGAGAGCTGGGCGGTACAGGCAGGGATGGAGGGACACAGCTCTGTGCTGAATGTGTCCGAGGCACAGGCTCTGGTTCCTAACAACACTAGAATCCCAGGGTTAGTGACTGGCACTCCAGGAACCTCGGCACACCTATAAAAGAGAAAGTGAACTGCCTCGTGGGACAGTAGGGGAGAAGGAAAGACACGCCTTCATGGGCAAGGATGAATGGGAAGGATTCTGAGCAAACACATTTAGTCATGATCATTTTGTAGCTGGAGGCTTATTATTATTATTATTATCTTGAATTACTTGCACAAAAGCGTTTCAATTCAACATGAGTTTGTGAATACAACGCATCTTGATCAATGTCAGCAATTTTGTATTTCTTCCTCATTTCTGCCAACCCCACCCGTCCCCTCAATTTATCTGGTCCCATTTCACATATCTACACTGAGTATTATGACTGCATTCCCCTCCTTCCTCTCTCAAGTGCCTGCCCCTCCCCTGACCTCACCCCTCTCCCAACAACACAAGTACCAGATTCCTGGTATTTGTTTTGTTAAACTGTAAATTGATTGTTCAAAGGGATTACACCACTCAAATCCTCCTCTTCATATAGCATACTTTAGTTAAAATGTGTGTGTGTGTATATGTATATACATATATATGTATATACATATATATGTATATGGTCCTGTATATGTTTACATACATTTTTAAAATTTAGATATAATATCCACATATGAGAGAAAAAAAACATGAATCCTTTGTCACTGCGAGCCTGACTTACTTCACTTAACATAATTTTTCCTAGGCTGGAGGTTTTCTTAGAAATCTTTTCTCTTAGTCCATTAAGGCAAGTCTAGAGTTACAGATAGAAAATCTATTCATTTCTATTCCTAAGACTTGAGAGCACACACCTGGGCAATCTCTGGGGTTCATCTCAATCTATTTATAGCTCCACACAGCATTTGTTTAATTATGAAACAGAGCAAAAATTACAGATTAATCACTATTTATCGATGGTTCTCATTTTAAATATCAGAGTATTTCACTTCTTCTCTGGAGGCAAGAAAAACGAGAATGCACCTATTTTTTAATAGTACTTTCATTGCTCCACAGTGATGTTTTATTTCAAAATCAGAATTCACTTGATAGCAAATGCTCATTATTCAGCTGCCCCTCCCCCACCCCAGCATTCCCAGTGTCCTCTGAGCCAGCCGAAAGGATCTCCCCAATTACTCCCCCAGTGCCTTCTTACAATTCTTGTTTTGTTCTGGTTTTTGTTTGTTCGTTCTGTGATAGGCTCTTCTACCTGGGTTAGAACTCACTGTGTATGTAGCTCTGGATAGCTTCAAACTCACAATCCTACATCAGCTTTCAAGTACAGGAAATATAGGTACACACTACTATGCCCAGCCTTCAAACCTTCATTAACTGTTTACGTACTTTTAAAGATCATTTGTGTCAATGTAGGGGAGTGAAGGTCTCTGTAGACCTCCCTAATTGGTCTTTAAGACCTCTTAAGATGGTAACAAAATATTCTGTTAAGAAATGAGCTCTGGGAGCTGGGAAGGGGGCTTAGTGGTAGAGCGCTTGCCTTGCACGCATGAGGCCCTGGGTTTGATTCCTCAGCACCACATAAGCAAAAAGAAAAAAGCCGAAAGTGGCGATGTGGCTCATGTGGTCTGAGGGACAGCGCCCAGGCCCAGAGTTCAGGCTTCACTACCGGACCAGAAGAAAGAAAGAAAGAAAGAAAGAAAGAAAGAAAGAAAGAAAGAAAGAAAGAGAAAGAAAGAAAGAAAGAAAGAAAGAAAGAAAGAAAGAAAGAAAGAAAGAAAGAAAGAAAGAAAGAAAGGAGCTCT